GTTGTACAAATGCACAAGGTTGTAAAAGAAATATACCCTACATATATATATATATATATATATGTGTGTGTGTGTGTGTGTATGTGTGTATGTGTGTGTGTGTCTTACTTTTATGTTAGCCACATTCTGTGGATATGGGTCTCCTTTGTACAGAAAAGGTGTTATTTCTAAATAATATATTGTCCATGTTTTCCATGTTGTTATGGGTATGGAATGTATCAATTATTTATGGTTTTGGTATCATTGAACTTATCCATGATTTATAGTTTTGGGTATTGAACCTTACCCACGCTTTGATGTTTTGGGCAATAGAGTTTTACCCATAATTTTAGGTTTAATAATTTGTGTGAGTATTGGGTTTACTTTCATGTTAAAATGAGTGTTTGTATTTATTGAGTTTTCATCACGAACATGATGAATTTTAGAAAGATGTTGCTTTATGGTAAAAACGTTTTATTTGAGAAACTATGTTTTAAATAAGTAGTCTTTCAGTTTTTACCATTTTATATTAAAGGTGAAACTGCTTGAGCTCACTAGGCGTTAATCCTAATCATTTTTATTTGTCAGCATGTGCATCAGGGGAGGGGGAGGGGGGGGGGTCGTACTAGCAACACTATGATGGAGTTGAGTGCTAGTTAGAGGCACGAGAATGATTTAGCTTTTCGGGGAAGTCTTTCGTATTTGGAGATAAAATGCATTAGCTGTCCGCTGTCAGGTTGGGCAGTAAGGGTTGGAGAAGGGCAATCACTCATTCTTAAAACCAGCGTTTTTAAGGCCAAAGAGTCGGCGGAGTAACACCCGTCATAAATCTAGACTTCGCGTAAGGTTTGGATTATTTATTGTTGGTGTTAAAATCTTAGATTGCTATTATAGGTAATTAAGTGTTGACATTTAGAAAGATGATCATCCCCTAATTGATGTTTTATCAATTGTTTTAATTAGTCGCTCTTTTCAGATTTGAGGGTGTACACACTTCTTCAAATAACTTTTCAATATTTTGTCTTGTTCCTAACATTTCAGTAGCAAACACATCCTATGCTATATCGATCTCAACCTGAACTTGAGGAGTGACATCGTTGGACAAAGTGAGAAAATCTACGGATCATACAATTGAGATCGACCCCAAAACTTTAAGAGCAATAAGGTAGTATCTGACAAAGTATTGTAATTGGGTAGGATCGGAGGTGAAATCAAGGATTTCAATTCTCGACCCTTATTAGCACAAAGTTGACAAAGTAGCTAAGGTTCAGTTGTGGATGACCGTTAAGACATATAATATAGCGTTTTATATGTACTTTCATCAAATTTTAAAGAAGTGCGTATTATTGATTGCTTGACGGATTTATTTTGATCAAATAGCAACATTAGGATTTAACAGATGAAACTTTGAAGAAACATACAATGTTGGTTGCAAGTCAAGCATGGAAGAACTTTAAGAAGACACTCATAGGTAATTACATGAAACAAAACATAAATCCATCTGACACATACAAGTTTCTTGATGAGGACAGTTGGAAAAAAGTTGTACCCTCAAGTCGACTCCGAAATTTCAAGTGTTGGAAAACCCAACTCTTTTTTGTGTTACTGTAAATTCTAAAATTTCAAAATATTGTTACTATCTTTATGTGAAAAAAATAATCAAACTAGGTTGCTAAGTTGTCGATGAGGTCACTTTCTTTAAGGAGAATTTCACCGCTTTGCTAATTATGTCGCAGTTAATAACGTCTACCCCAGGATAAAACAACTCTCTTTAACTAGTTCACACTGTCTAGTCAATATCACTAAATGTTATATTTTTGATCTCTATTGCTTCAGAAGAATGAATAAGGGGGTGTTTGAGATTGCTTATTTGAAACAACTTGTGTTTTTCTACAAAAACACTTATCAACTTATTATAAGTTAGAAGAGTTTAACTTCTTCAAAAACTTCTTATTATCGGTTTGACACCGGTATAAGTTGTTTATCCAAACACTCAAAGATGCTTGTTATTGACATCACACCGAAATAAGTTAATAAATTATTTTTATAAACAATCTCAAATACCCCTAACTATACATATAACATATATAAATCAAAATTAGAACCTTAGACAAAAGGGTGAGGGTGAGGGTGAGGGTGAGGGTGAGGGTGAGTGTCCAGGGTGTGTGGGGTAAAATGGTAATTTAACACACCACCTTGATGTACCCAACATGTGCCCACACGATGACAACAGTCGCTGCTGCCATTCCCAGACCGGAGCTTTCAAAAAAGGGGCTGAAAGAGGAGGAGAGATGTCTGCATATAGAACTGAAGATGAGTATGATTACTTGTTCAAATTGGTTCTAATCGGCGATTCTGGTGTGGGTAAATCCAATCTTCTTTCCAGGTTCACTAGAAACGAATTTAATTTAGAAACAAAATCAACGATTGGTGTCGAGTTTGCTACCAGGAGTCTTAATGTTGATGGAAAGGTCATCAAAGCTCAGATTTGGGACACTGCTGGTCAAGAAAGGTCAAACCCTTTTCTTTTTCTTTTTTACTTTGAATTAATCATGTTCTTAGTTCTTATCAACTCTTTTTTTTTTTTTTTACTTTTGTTTGTAATAATCTTTAATTCTTAATTGATTCTTTTGTGGGGTGTGTGTGATTGGGATGCAAAAGTGACTGAAGTTCCGTTGCGTTTGGGGTTTCTTGCTGATAAGATTTTGTTATGATTTCATATCGTTTATCTTGAAGTTTAATGGGTTTTAGTGCGCCAAGACATGAAAGAAGTTTCATTTTCATGGGAATAGCCACAGATAGTGCCCTGCTCTCATGGATGGAATCATGATCCATGTTTTTTAGTCGTTTTTGTGTGTGTGTGTGTGTATATATATATCATATATATATGTATGGAGAAAAAGTATTTGTGTGATCACACAAAAAACAGATCTTGTTACAATGATTGGTACTTTTTTTTATCTGGGACACACAAAGATAGGCCCCATTGACAGGGAGGCAATCACATTTCGGATATGTGGTGTATGGGCTTGAAAATTCGATATTTGTTTTGTGTGACATTATCAATTTTGCATTTGAAAGTTGCTAACTTTGGCACTAAAAATCAAAGATTTAGGATCTTTCTTAGCAGCAAAGAGAGCATTAGTGTTATCTGGTGTGAAATTGGGGACCAGGGAAAAAGTGTAATAAAAGAGGGGAGGGGGGCAAAAACATCTTTTAAAAGTAGAACCACTTCTGTAATTAAATAATTGAGTTGTTAAAATAATTGCATGCATAATCAATATTGATTCATGGCAGGCACATCAAAACATGCTATAGAATTGAACACTAAAACATAACAATAACAAGTTTTTCCATCACCATTTAGCTACTCTTGATTTATTCATGCTATCTCTTTGCTCACACTCTTGCACAAACCGGGGGTCTTCACGAAAACAAATGCTGTACTCTTTGGGGTACATCTCATCCCCCATTACCCTACTTTCAAGTAGGATTTACTGGGTACGATTGGTTTGGTTTAGTTAGGTACTCTTAATGCATTAGCTGACTATGGATAGAACTGTATGTTCTAAGTGTGAACTAGATAGAGTCTTAGTTATACTGTTGACTCGTGCACCACTCTCTTCCTTTATAGTATCCTTATGGTTGGAAACATTAGTGATTTGTTGTGAGATGTTAATAGTTCAAAACCACCCACCAACATGTGACACTGTGAGGCAATGATCATGGTAGAGGATGTGTTTGAGAGTCAAACTATGGATTAAGGAGGAAGTTCATATCGTGTTGAGTTTGTTTTTGGTTTTAGATACTTTCTTTTCTTTGTGGATGATTTTTTCTATAGTATGTTCAATGTATTTATTGAAATTTCATGTTATTTCTTTTGAACTTTTCCACTTATGTGAAGAACTAATTTAATGGAACCATAATTAGCTGTTCTAACTAATAATGCAAAAGAATAATTTTATCATGATTTTACAATCCTTATGAACTCCGGTAGTATGCTACATAACTGCTCTCGTGTATATGCATTTCAACAATACCAGAAGGTATTAATATTACATGAAATGAACGCTTCTAGAGATAACCCTTGTGGGTAGCTTAACTGACCAGGCCTTGAGTTTGCTTTCCATTGGTCACCAATTTCGAGGCCCCGACACTGGAGGTTTGCCCGGTTGTTAACTTCAGGGCCCCATGGAATTAGTTAAGGTGTGCACAAGCTGGCCTGACCACTTCTAAAGATGAGACACACTCATGATTCATTAACATATGCGTCATTATTTTTTGGAAGATGCAATTCTTACAACTCATTAGCAGCTTAACAATATTCCTTTTATTGTTTAAAAGGCCACATACCAAAGTATTTTGTCCATTTTACTTTTGTGGAGTTCGGTTTCTTTTTCCTTCGTGTCTAATCCACTACTCTTCTGTCTGTTGCGCTTTATGTGGTTCTTTGTGTATAATGGGTTTCGATTAAAGTCACTTGTACTCTGTTTTAACTTAGATTCTGCTGAAACCAAAGGGCTTAGCTCGGCTGCAATCCCCTGTGTCAATAAGATGGGTAGTTCCTCTTTGTCTGGTCATGCCAACCTCCCATAGGGAGCACTTTGTGGTTCTAAGACTGTGTGGGTGGTTCTAGACTACATGGATTAGTGGTGCCTTCGGGTTGCAGATACCACTTAAAAAGAAAAAAACTTAGATTCTAACTCCCATGTGTTGCTCCACTTTAGGGCTTATCACTGTTGAAACATTCTGATATAACCCTTTTACTCCAATTCTTTTGCAAGTCCACCACATTTTTGATTTTGAGGGATTTCAATTCGGTGAAAGAAACAAACGGACACAACTCTTTATGCCCTTTATCTTGTTTGTGATTGAGATGAAATCTGTAGCTCCACTATCTAATATGCATTTATGACCTTATAACTCAACTGCCTATGATAGACATCTTACTTTTCTTCTAAATCAACAAATGAAATCAAGTACTTGCATCCATATCTTATTAAGCACACTATGCACCTTATTTAAACTTCTAATGTGTAAAATATAAGATGTTTGATATCAAGATTATATACAAATACTGTGAGGGATGATATGAAACACATATGACAGTTAAAGTCATAGGTTGCAAACTCAAAAGTCAATTTTTTTTTTATAAATGGATATAAGATTATACAATTTATAAACAAAAATCAGAATTTCACAATTTTATATAAAAAATTTATAAATGGAAATAAAATAAATAGAAAGACTTAAAACCCAGACATAAACAACAAATAACAAATAAGTATAAATTTGAGACTGATATTTCAAGAAATAAATAATTTTTCTTACTAAAACATTAAAACTAAATAATGTAAATCAAATGAATGTAATGCCCTGCTATGTTTGCTGTGCCAATTCCAGGATATACACAATAGCATGTGCTTAAATGTGAAGTAAAAATAAATGAAGTTACAAGCGTGGAATCCAATAATATAAAACATGAAAAGAAGTAGAAAGAAAACTAATGGATGGTCTTCAAAAATAAGAGAAGATTGCCGAAACTAGATAAAAACTTAAGTTTTCTTTAAAGATGGTCGTTTGTGGTCGATAGTTCTTTTTTACTGTAAGTAGGTTTTTTTCCTACTAATTCTTTTTCTTTTTGGCTTTTTCTCTCATGGGATATTGAATCCTATCAAGGTGAAGAATTGACTTCTAGACATGGGCTCCTTCCAAAGAATTGGCTTCTAGGCATGGGCTCATACTCTAGATCTTGTAGCCTCTTTAAGAAGGATTCTGTTGCATACAAGTGGGTGTATGGTGCAGTTTAATTCTGATGGACGTATAACTTGCTTGAAAGCTGTGTTAGTTAAACTTGGCATTCTTAGGCTTTTGATGAGGATTGTGATGGGTGTTTTTAGTTCTTTGGCCAAAATGTCTTTGGTTCACCTTGTCCTTTGCTGAGATTGCTTTGGCACTTCATGAGTTTGTTATCAAGATTACATTTTTCAATATTGTTACCGGGAAAATCTATATATTGATTGACCTGATTTCTGTCTTCTTAGGAATTAAGAATACGGAGGTATGAGCCTTAGAACATATCCTGTTCCAGTAATTTGGATCAACCTGGTTAAAGATCAGCCACAAAAGTTTTTCATTTGAGGAGGTTTTTTTAGAGTCTTAAGTAAGTGCTCAGCCTAGAGGAAGTTTTCCCTGAGCTTTTTGAGAAATCGATTTTGCTTTTGATCATCTTGTGTTGTATTTGAAGTTCTGTTTTAACGATTCTATTGTTAGTGGAGAAGATCCATAAAGAATTTGGGACAACGAACTTCGTAAATCTGGAATATTTTCTTGGTCATGAGGTGCCTACATGTGGTACCGGAACCTTTCTATGAGGGCGGTAGCGTTGAAATTGCATCCTAGAGAGCCTATATGAGTGTAATTCTTTTTCCCAAATGTTTTTTAATGTTTTGACGTTAGAAGGGAAAAATGCATCAAATTGCAACGAAGTTTATCTTAGTTCCTATTTGGTGTAATGAACAATTTTTTTTTTCAATCAATATAACAAAGTTTCAATATATGTCCTATTTAATGTCACAAAGTTTGACAAATTATCAATCAATGTAACAAAGTTTTCAAGTTTTCCTATTTAATGTAGCATTTAGTGACGTGATTGTCAAGTTTATTGTCCACTTCGCCGCAACTTTTTCGTAAACATTTCATAAGCCTGCGGTAAATGGGGCTCACGTCATCAATGTTACAAAATCATCAGGTTAGCAGTCAAAATGGGTACAGGAAACTTCGTTACATTGATTGAGAAAAAAGAATATTTGTTACACTAAATAGGAACTAAACCAAACTTTGTGGCATTTTTTCCATCTAGAATCATCAGGCTTGCTTTTTCGTTCTTTAAAAGAGTACTGATTCGGTTCAAATCTTGACCTCTTATTAGCCATTGGGATGTCGTTTCATGGAAACGAAACCAAATGAACCCAATATATCCCACTCGGATGTTGTTTTTTTTGGAGGGGGGTTTTGTATGCAGACCTGTCTTCCACCCCGAAGGGTAAAGTAGCAGACCTTAAGGATAATCTAGGTTGGTGTATCTTGATGTTTCGAAATGGACAACTTAATGCTAGGTGCTTATTCAGCTGACTAGCTCCAATGAAGCCCTATATCTTTTATCATGAGTAAAATGTCGTTATAATCAAACTTCTAATCAAGAGGTGTTTGGTTTAACGGAATGTTTTTGAGGGATTTGACATCGTGGAAGGATTTGGACTTTTTGGTGTATCTGGTTTGTAGGTTGTGGAATGGAATTGAACTCCATTATGTACAAATAATTTATAAAAACAAATTGTAAATAATTAAATTATATTTTGTTAGTAGGTTATTACAAAAAGAATGTTTTTAATATATTTTAAAACATTTTACAGAGAACTCCTATGAAATCCTGTGAAGTACCAACTACACCCATGAGATTTCTAAATCCAATGTGTGTAGTATTTCATTGAAATCTTGGGGTTCCGATTA